GTAGTTTTTGCTCACTGGACTAAAACCTACCAGTAGGTTTTGCCCAGAATGCCAAAATTAAGGGTTTTAATCAGATTTTTTTAGGAGAACTGTTCATTGTCTCCCTAAGTTGCAAACCCTAAGACACTTATCTCTCCCTCAAAGCATCTCTAAGCCTTAAAATCCCTCACCCATAGCCTTTATCTCTCCTCTCTCATTGCTAGGGTTGTTGATTGAGTGGTTTTTAGTGAAGATTTTAGGATTTCATCATTTAAACACTAGTTTTGTAGAATTTTACCCCAAGCCCTAACCTCTTTAAAAATTTTCAAAAGTTCCAAAATCTTTGCAATGGCTCGCATGGGGAGGATCATCTGTGATGTTGTGGACCCGATTGAGGGGTAGTTTTTGGCTCTTTTGTCACTCTTAAGGTGTGGGGCACTGTTTATTTGCATGGCCCACACCAAGTGCACTGGGCCAAGTTCTCCTTAGCTTGAGGGTGCTAGTGCCCGCAAGAGAAGCGGGGAGTCGAGTGGAAATTGGGGTGAGTGAAGGAAGAAGGCTAGGAACGATGCTCAGTACCAAAACATCGAAGAAAAGAGCATAACCAGTGAACGGTTTGTGGGTAGGATATCATTGGGTTCGAACAACGATGTTGTGAGGATCATTGAGGCCCACGGGATTGGAATTTGGTTTGAGCCCTTGAGTGGGTTCAATTTGGAGTTATGTCAGGAGTTTTACCAAAAACTCAAGGTGATGGGCGAGGACGCGGAGATTTTGAGAACTAATATGAGGGGCAAGACTTTTGATGTGACCCCTGCCATGATTGCCACTCTAATGAAGTATGAGTGGCCACCTCCCTCCACCTTAGTGTAGCCACAAAACATTCCTAGGATCAAGACTATCCTAGAGTATGTGCCTTCGATGTACGAGGACCTGACTCAATTTAGGGGAACGATTCAATTTACTTCCCAGGGGGGCCAAGAAGAACCCAAACGTGGAAAAGCTCGCTCTCTTGGATACGGTGATGATTGGGAAGGCTTTAGACATAGCACTCTTAATATGGGAGGTGATGAAGGAATTCGCACAGGCTAGAAAGCCGAAGGCGAACCTCCTATTTGGAAATCTAGTCAGCTGGATGTGTGACCATTTCAAGGTAAAGTGTTATGCCTTTGGCAAGTTGACTCCTCCTAAGACCGGGGCCATAGGGAAGGCGAGCAGTAGCAAGAGGTATGCCATGAGTCAAGGTGAGTGTGCTAGGGTTCTAAGACCGGAGTCATCAACCATAGGACCTTCCTATACAGGTCCATCTACTCCTAGGCCATCCACTTTAGCTCTTGTGCGCACAATATCTTAGCACTTGGATGCGTTGGAGGAGACAATTCATGGGATATCAGCGATGATGATCCGATTATTCCATCATACATTCCTTGGTGAGCCGATCCCCAGTGGACCACCACCTCCTGTTGCTAAACCTTCTACTTCTCCCCCTCAGCATCCATTATTGTTGAGGTGGGATACTCAAACGAGGATGATGGTGACGAAGAGGATGAGGACACTGAGGATGACACTAGGGAGTGCGATGACGGAGATGGGGGAGACGGAGATGATGCGAAGGGCGCTATTGTTTTTTGTCCTTTTTTATTTAGGTTGTACATAGCTAAGAGTGGAGTTAGCGGCCTAGTAGAAGAGTCTTTAGGAATTTTAGGTCGTTTTGTCTCTTTTTGAATACTAATTCCATGTACTCAACTTTTGAAAGAAATTAACGAAGTGCCACAGTTGTTGTTCCATCTTGCCCAAGTTCATTTCATTAATTGCATTGTGATTTTTTTATTTTGAATGTTTGGTGAATTACTTGTGTAAATAGATTGATGTAGTTTCATACTCGTTAGTTTGAAAGAAAACTTTGCTAGGGACTAGTAAAGCTCAAGTTGGGGGGGTGTGATTAGCACGAAATATTGCATATCATGTGTGCATTTACACTCCTTTTATACTCTCTTTTGTGGTGAAAATGAGGAGAATTGCAATGTTTTGAGCTTTTAATGAGCTTTCGGTGTGTTTGCAGGTAAAAGAGCTTAATTGGTGCATGCTAGGCCTTTATCATGGTGCTTAAGGTCAATGGAGTTGAGAGGGAGGCTTGACGATGGCTTGGAAGGTGAAAGAACCAAGAATTGAGCAAAACCAGTTAAAACCTACCGGTAGGTTTTAAATAAAACTACTAGTAGGTTTTGGCTACTAGAGTGGTTTCTACTGGAAAACTACCAGTAGGTTTTGCTGAAAAATGCTAAATTATGTAACTCAAGATCTGCCACCTGGGGGTCGTACCTATGGGTGTCTCACTTGTTCCCTGACACTCCTTGCACATAGGCATGCCTCCTCAACCCTAACGTTGGACTCTGAAGGCTTATGCATTAATGAAGAGAAGAGAGAAAAGGAGAAGCCTGGGAGTTGCTCGGTAGGCTGTCCTAGCCAGCCCAAAGCCATCATTTCAATCTCCTATGGATGGGAGGGATGTACCACACCCAGGAGGACCTCCATGGATGTATTTGCAAGTTTCATTCATGAATATAGAGAATGTATTGCATTATAGAGAGGGAAGCTCAAAGAGGAAGATGAAGTTCTAGGGAGAGAAATTTATGTTTTCGTATTTTCTTCCATCCATTTCACTTGTAATCTCCTGTAAGACTTATGTAAGCTTCATTTAATGTCTTTAATGTCATTTATTACAAGTACATTGCAAGTTTAGTTCTACATTTTGGATTTCACCAATGTTGTATTAAGTTTTCTTCATTTCAAGCTTTTACAATGGGTATTGAATGTTTTTCTTCATAGTTTAAGATTTCTTGTATCAATCCAACCTCCAATATTCATTTCTTTACAATGTCTCTTTCCTGTATTTATGTTGTTGCATTAAATATGAGTAGCTAAGCTTCAAGTTGACTAATCTAATGGAGGGTTCCTCGTGGGTATGCTAAATCAACCATTTTTCATTCCTCTTCGTAATGTATGATGATTTGGTTTGACTAGCTTGAGTGTAGACGTGATTGTGAGTTATTAATACACCATAGATTTGTCTCAGGGTATACTTGAATCCTCACCTCCATTTTACTCTCTTGCTTCCCACGAATCAATCAGACATTTAGGCACCCTTGGAGGAAGGTCTTGGGTTGATTTGGAATTCCCATTGGAATGACCTCTTTGGATTAGCCAACACTTGTTTCTATTTCATTTTCATCAAGAACACAATTCACCAAAACTCAAACTCAAAGATTTTTGCACTTTTTCCTTTTCACCAAAATTGCCTTCAACATAATTTTCTTCTTTCCTTGAGGAGACGACCTTGAAATACAAATTCCAAGTAAAACACTACCCTCGAAAGTCTCTCTACGCTTGGAGAGCACTTTTGTACACACACACATTTTCGTCCCAAACACACATTTACCCCATTTCTTACATCATTCCGAGGGAGAGTGACACTCCCCTATACAGATAAGCCATATACACATGACCGGATGATGTTCGAAGATTAGGGTTGATGGAATAAATCAAGAAATTATGATCATGTCATTTCATTTGATTTATATTTTGTCTTGTTAAGACATATATGAGTATAACTTCTTTTGACTAGATATCTTCGATCCTCACATATACTTATAAGTGAAACAATCACCATAGTCAAAGAATTTTCTTTTCTGAATGAGAAAACCTTGGTGAGATTGGCATTGAAACTAGCCTTGGAAAGGTAATAGGAATAAGAATTTTGTTTGATGCATCTTTTGAATTGAATGATCATACCACACACATAAGAATTTTGGATGCTAAAATGACTGTGAATACTCTTACGTAGCATTTAAGTTTGTAAGGGAGCTTTGGGTAGATTAATTTTGAGTGCTATAGCATGTCTTTAATTTCATAGTAATTATGGAATAATAGTGTACTTCAGATAGATAAATTGAAGTTAACAGGTATCTTCTCTGGAAACATTCATGAGACAACACCGACCCACTTGGGGTAACCTACGGTTTAACGACTTAGTGCAAAGGCTAAATGCATTCGCGATTGCCTACAAAAGTGGTTATTTTTTTTATATTTATTAGATTGTTTTTATTATGCTTTAAATTCCTTTTCATTGTATATATCTTTTGGGGAATAAATTGCAATGCATATTATATTTATTAGATTGTTTTTTTATTATGCTTTAAATTCCTTTTCATTATATATGTCTTTTGGGGAATAAATTGCATTGCATATACCTTGAATTTTTGGCACATATGGAATGTGATTAAAGGCATTTATTGTGTATTTTTTTTTTTGAGACTTTGGACTTAGGTATTTATTTAGTTTTTAATTCAATTCTAAAAAAAGGAAAAAAATAGGAAATTTTTGAAATTATTTTTAGAGCTACCAGTAGGTCGAAATGTGCTTCCTAATGGTAGAACTCTATTCTATCCAAAAAAATAAAAAGGAAGTTTAACCAATTGTTTCATTTCACTCTTTTAATACACAAAGATCCATTCTGATGTGAACCCATGGAGATAAAGCTCCTTGAACCCACGAACTAGTTGATTCAAACCCAAGAAAGCCAACATTCAAGTGGAAAAGGAAAAATCCCAAAGACCCAACGAGAACTTGTCTCAAGAAACCTTGGTTCGAAACCCATGACCCAACGAGAACCTATCTTGAGAAACCTTGGTTGCAAAGAGGCACCACAAAAGTTGCAAGCCTTTGATAAGCCGAGTGCTCACAAAAGAACAAGTGGAGAAAAATCTCAACTAACAAAGCTTTTGCTCTCAAAAAAATTTCATGTTTTATTCATTGCACTAAATGGCCTTCTATAGGGTACAAAATTTGGCCTCCAAGGAAGGCATGAAAAGTAATTCCAAAAATTTAAAATAAAGGAAATAAAATAATTATTGTAGATTATTCCAGAGGATAATCCTTCCAAGAATAGGAGTGTTGGTCTTCAAATTCCTTACATGATTGTGATAAGAATCCCCCAATCTATGACCCTTCTCCAAGCTTGATTAATACTTTCCAAAAAGAGTGGCATGCCAAGATGGAAAGATATCCCCAAGATCTTCCATACACGAAGCATCGTGTATGGAAGATGTTTTCTCTTTGCTCCTCATCCTTAACTTTGGATTGCATGCTAAGTGCCTTCGAGCAACAAGAGATTCACCATAAATAGCATCCTCCATTCCATCAACCCTGTCCTCCAAAAGTTCGGACTTGGCCTTATCAACATCCTTATCATCAGTCTCCACCTCTTCATTGTCCCTCATGATCATTACTCTTTTGTTGAGGCATTGTGAGGATATTTGGCCCAATCCCATGCACTTGAAGCACTTGACATCCCTATTCTATGAAGGTTAGGACTCGACTTTGGGCTTGCTAGGGCCTTCCTCCCGTCTACCTCTTTTTGGTGGTTCAACTCTTGCTTTGGAAATCTCTCCCTCGCTCCTTCCTTTGCTTTCTCACTTTGGCTTCCATGATGTGGAAGTGTATCTTGTAGTCCCCTTCTTCTTGAGTTGCCTTTCCACCTTCATGGCCATGTGTACCATGTCCTCTAGCTTAACATAGTGTTGTAACCTTACTTTATTGGCTATGTCATGGTTTAGGCCGTTTAAGAACCTCGCCATGGTGGCCTCATGATCCTCCTCCACATTGGCCCTAATCATGGCCACTTCCATCTCCTTGTGATAGTCCTTAACATTCCTAGAGCCTTATGAGAGGCTTTGGAGATTTTGGAAAAACTCGCGATAGTAATGGCTCAGAATGAATCGCTTCATCATGAGAGCCTTTAACTTGTCCCAAGTATCAATAGGTCTCTCGTGATTTCTCCGCCTAGTGGTAACCAATTGGTTCCATCAAATAATGGCATAGTCCATGAACTTAATCACCACTAAATTTACCTTTTTCTCCTTTGAATAGTTGTGGCAATCAAAGTTGAGTTCAATCTTTTTCTCCCACTCAAGGTATGCCTCCAAATAGTTTCTGCCTTGAAAGGAAGGAATCTTCATCTTGATGCTCCCAAGATCTCCATCCATACCCTCATGACCGATATAGGGTCTTCTAAGGCCTCCTTCCTCCTAGGCTAAAATTGGAACACTGCACGCCTATCCCGATCGCCATCACCATCATAAAATCCCATGAAATCCTCTTCTTCCATGTTTTCATTAGGGTTAGCTCGAGGTCCTCCTCGTCCCCCCTGCATGTTTTGTAAGGTCATTTCTTGTCTAGTACTTCTGTCCTCCATATTTTCGAACTGTAAGGACATTTGTTACAATTTTTGAAACACTGCACACAAGGTAAACTCCTCATCAAATCCAGCACCACCCTTTTCTTCTCCAAAGCCTTCTTTTGAAGACATTGTTAGGGTATATCTGTAAGAAAAGAAAAATGTTAGTAATAAAGAAATTTCCTCACACATTCTCTCACGTGTATGCACTCAATAATGTTCACTCGTGTATCACCCTTCAATGAGGCTTTTCCCCTCAATCAAATTCCTAAGGAACACCGCAATGCAAACCAAATTTTGGCCTCGGTGTAGCCCCAGACAACCAAGATCCCCGAGAAGTCAAAGTCCTTGACATGAGACAAATAGTCCAATAAAGAGAGTGCTCATTGAAGTTAGCGCATGAATCCCAAAAGACTCTAAGAAGCAAATAGACTTGAAAACTACGATAAGACTCTGGGATATTGTATGGTATAAAAAAAATAATAGCATTAGCAATAATAGTAATATTCAAAAACCAATCAATATATTTTATTGACTTACTGTCATCAAGGTCACCCAACAAAGGATATGGAAGTGAATGAGCAAATTTTTTTTTTTCTATTTTTCTACTTTTTTTTTTGGTTTTTTTTAGCTCATCACACCCCAGTCAAAAGAACAAGAACAAGAGAATATCAAGAAACACAAAAATACATGAAATATGGGAATGGAAGGTCAAACAAAGATAGACCAACTTGTGATCTTCTAGGTTCACCCAACAAGAGGGGAATGAACAAATTAGAAAAGAAAGATAAAATCTGATTTGGAGCCTAAACTATGATACCAACTAATGTGAATCCGTAGAGATAAAGCTCCTTGAACCCACGAACAAGTTGATTCAAACCCAAGAAAGCCAAAGTTCAAGTGGAAAAGGAAAAATCCCCAAGACCAAATGAGAACTTGTCTCAAGAAACCTTGGTTTGAAACCCACGACCCAACGAGAACCTATCTCGAGAAACCTTGGTTCCTTTGATAAGCTGAGTGCTCACAAAAGAACAAGAGGAGAAAACTCGCAACTCACAAAGCTTTTGCTCTCAAAAAAATTTCCTGTTTTATTCATTTAACTAAATGGCCTTTTATAGGCTACAAATCTTGGCCTCCAAGGAAGGCATGAACAGTAATTCCAAAAATTTAAAATAAAGGAAATAACATAATTATTGTAGATTATTCCAGAAGATAATCCTTCCAAGAATAGGAGTATTGGTCTTCAAATTCCTTCCATGATTGTGATAAGAATCCCCCAATCTTTGACCTTTCTCCAAGCTTGATTAATACTTTCCAAAAAGAGTGGCATGCCAAGATGGAAAGATATCCCCAA